GTCGGCTCAGTGCGACCTTCGACTGGCTCGAGGTGGACGCCTGGCGAGCCGGGAGTTCAGAGATCGGAACCAACCGCGAATTGCCCGAGGAATCAGGCATGGAGCTGGTCGCCAACCTCATCGAGCAGTACCAGTTCGATGCCCTCTTCCTGATCGGTGGTTTTGAGGCCTTCCATGCCGTTTCGCAGTTGCGCAAGGCGAGGGACCAGTACCCGTCGCTCTGCATTCCCATGTGCCTGTTGCCGGCCACCATATCGAACAACGTCCCGGGCTCGGAATACTCGCTCGGTTCCGATACTTGCCTGAATGAGTTGGTAAACTACTGTGACAAGATCAAGCAGTCGGCGTCGGCTACGCGCCGGCGAGTCTTTGTCGTTGAGACGCAGGGCGGCAAGTCAGGCTACATCGCGACGCTCGCAGGCCTCAGCGTGGGAGCGAGTGCCGTATACACGCCTGAGGAAGGGCTCGACCTTGAGACGCTCGCATCCGACGTGCGCCACCTGCGTGAAGTATTTGCCCACGATCGGGGCATGACCTCCTCGGGACGTCTCATCCTCGTCAACGAGAAGGCAGATTCGGTGTTCAACGCCAAGCTCATTGCGGACATTATCCGCAAGGAGGCCCGGGGCCGTTTCGAATCGCGCGACAGTATCCCCGGCCACGTGCAACAGGGCGGCGTGCCATCGCCGATGGACCGATGCCGCGCGGTGCGTCTGGCAATCAAGTGCATGCAGCATCTCGAGGAGTTCCGACCCAAATCGCATAACAGGTGCAAGAAGGACCCGATGAGCGCGAGCGTTATTGGCATCAAGGGCGCACAGGTGACCTTTACGCCAATGCAGGAGCTCGAGGAGCAGGACACGGACTGGAAGAACCGCAGGCCCAAGGCAACGCACTGGGCGCACATGAAGAACGTCGTGGACATTCTCGGCGGGCGCCCTCAACATACGCAGGGCGAGCAGCCTCTCGAGGGACTCATGGCGAAGGATGTGAAGCGCGGTTTGGCGTATGCCTGAGGTCTGACGTCGAATGCGATGGGCTGCGCATGGTGCGGACGGCGAACTGGCGAGTTTGGTGCGGGCATGCTTGAGGGAGAGCCTAGGAGATTCGGCTCACCTGAGAGGTTGGGTACGGAAACGGGAGTTGATTTTGCCTCTTGCCCTTTCTTCTTCCTCTTCCTGTCTTTTCTCTGTTTAGTGACGATGGTAACGAAAGGAAAATCCACGCATAAATATACAACATACATTACTCGCATGAACGCCACGTGTTTGTGGGGGACAGCTTGAGGTGAGATTTAAATACCTAGCGGTCGGGGGAGGCACAACAACTCTCACTCAGGAGGGGCGTGCATACATCGTGAGGACTCATATGAGACGACGCTTGATCGTACATGAGATAATCTAACGACGTCTATCAAGCCCTCCGAGCAAATGCTACATCGCTACGACAAAACCTTGAGCCAGCCATCGTCTCAGGCGCTTGTGCTTGGAGAGCGGTGGTTGAGGGCCTGGGACAGCCGCCCATGACCTCGACTCCATCATGGCAAGGACAAGCATGGACGGGCCTCGTAGGAGCACCCCCTCACCGCGGACAGCGACTCTAGGGCAGGCAGGCGGCAGGTGAGCTTGTCAGGCAGGCGTGGTCGAGCCCAGATCCACATGACGTCAGGGCCCGTCCCGCCCCCCACCTCCAGCAATCACCTCTTCATTCTTGTTCGACTACAAAATCATGCCCGCTACCATCAGTGTGACCGTTGCAGTAGAGAAAAGGGGGCTAATCGGCAAGTCGGACGTTGACAGAAAGTTGGCAAATGTTGGACCCTGGTTTATCTTTGGTCGGGTTTTTATCAGACCCTGAATACAAATGGGCAGCCTATACACAACACAGCCTTGGGTGTGTCATTTCGTCATCACGACCTGTCGGTCACTTGCGCCCCCCTCGTTCCAGTCTCGTCACAGGGCCCCAGCTTGCCGTCCACAAGCAGTCACCGAAGACAGGCAGGAACAACGTGCCTCAGAAGTAGCTACAGAAGCCCTCGAGCCCGGAAGCCTCTGAGGCTGCGAGGCCCTGCCGGAATCCATTGGGCAGCGAGGCAAGACCCTGGTCGTGTGCCCCCTCCTCGCTCCTGCTGCGGGCTTCCCACGCCCTGGCCGGCGGTCCTTCCTGCCTGCCCAACGGATGGATGAGTAGTTGCCAGTTTTTGCACTTTTGTCCCGACCTAGGTACCTACCTAAGGTATGGCAGGGACCTCCTGTTTCTAAGCTGCCTCTTCGCCCCCTCGCCCCCTCATCCATCTCATCTGCACATCCTTGAGAGGGCTGGGCGAGGAGCTCCCTGATGGGAATTTGTTCAATGCTTCGCCATTCTAAGAGTATCGGGTCAGATCCGGACTGAATACTCATGGCAACCCAATTTCAACTGATTCTATTCAACTTGGGCGATGTCAGTGATTTTTCGAGACACTCCCCACCATCCTGGCAAGGTGGTCAACCTCATCCTTGGCCAACTCTGCAGCGGCCCCCCCAAGGATGACCCTGGACTCCCCTCGTCTCGGCAGCCGCCAGCCTCCAGCGTGCGGCATCCAGCCCCTTCTGTCAGCTTATTAGCGCACCCAGCAACGCAACTTAACAGCCTGGTATTACCAGCCCGCCGTGACCTTCTATGAGGGGGGAACAATTGCACGCACGCAGCCTGACGGCCAGCCGACCAGTCGGGACCGCGCATCAGCTGCTCCCCCGCCGCGCCATGACGATGGACACTTGACACTCGACAGCCGACAACGCTCGACGCTCGCTACTCTTTCCAAGATCGACTCCCGTCTCGGCACCCGCAAGCCCTCCCCTCCCGACTTGTCTTTCTTGAGTTAGGTCAAGCACGGCACCAGACCTGAGGGACCTGGCTACCAGACCAGACCAGCAACAAGGACAACTAGCCCTTTGGGCCTTGCTTTCAGTTCAGGCCTGTTTTTTTGTCTGATCCACTTCACTCCCGTCTCCCGCCACGCGCACCCCCCCCCCCCCCCCCGCCAAAACAACCCAAACCAAAGCCGAACCACTTCGACAGCTTCCCTGGCGCTGTTGTCCACTTTCGCATCTTCCCTCCGACTGGCGTCTCGGTCTGCTGCCCTGTGCCAATACTTCTCTCTTCTCCTCGTACACATAGATTCTCGGCCCTCGATACCCATTTTTGCTTGGGCTTGGACTTTTGCATGCTACGGACCACCCCGTCGTTTGTGCCACGAGCGTCTGAAATTCACCCATCTTGTGTACTTTCGACTCAGCTGCTGCTCGTGCTTACCGTCATACACACGACCCCGCCACTACCACCAGCAAGAAGTTAGACCACCACTCATTACGGGCTTTTCAACCTCAAGAGACAACAGATACGAGCAAACAAACCTCGTCAATCTCACGAGGAACTACACACACTATGGCCTACCGGGGAAGCGACTATGACGATCGCTACTACGATGCGCCTCCCTCGTCTGCCGGTCGCCGACGCCCTCAATCCACCTATGATGAGGTTCGCATTCAAGATCGCGAACGTGAGAGTGACCGCCTAGCCTTCCTCCGGGACGACCCCCGACCTCAAGAGGCAGGGCCACTGGTCCTTCGTCAGCGCGATGTTGAGACGCGCGAAGTCGCTCGGCCTCGTTTTCGAAGTCCCAGTCCTGTACGCCACGATCACATGGTCATGACGAGGAGAGCCCGCAGCCTTACCCCGCCTCACATCCACGAAGAGCGCGAGCGGGAGCGCGTTCGCATCAGCG